TTGAGGGTAGGCCTGAGACAGCCATGAGGGGAAACAGCAGATGTGGTCTTGGGGACACGGGGGCTGATGTGCAAAGGTGCTTTCTGGGAACAAGGACTCCCACAGAGGCAATGATGAGTGGGAGCAGCCGGCCGGGGCACTGCCTGGACTTGCACACCTCTGTCCTGCCCATTAGCCCCGGTTGCCACTGCCGCCAGTGCTCTGAGTGTGTGTGCACGCGTACATGAGTGTGCATGGCTGCGTGAGACTAGTGGGTGGGGCGGCAGCAGCAGGGCCAGCTCTGTCCTCTGCTTCTCCCATTCCAGCCCTACAGGGCAGTACACGGCCACGCGCTCTGTGGCTTTGCTTTTCCTGGGTCAGGACAAGGGCTAGGTCCTCCCATCTCATGGAGACTCACGAAGGACTCTCTGAGCCCTCTCAGGCCCTGGCATTCCTGGGGCAACTCTAGGCCCTGTAAGGCCCGGACATCTGCATTTTTCTCTCGGAATAGCAGGAAAGCGGGGTGGTCTCAGAGGACGGCCTGTACTGCCTCTCCCACTTCCTACCTGAAGTGTGGTGTCCACTGGGGCCTCTCTCCCTGGCACAGTCTTAACAGGAGCTACGTTGGCCAAACCACTGTCTCTGTCACTCGGCACCGTGGGTGGTGCAACTCCCCACCCGCCAGTTCCATGTCCAGATATTTTGGTGATAGTGTCAGCAGTTTTCCATGGGTTGGAACAGGGGTCAGCAAACTCTGGCCCCTGGGCCAAACATAGCCCACTGTCTGTTTTTGGAAATACAGTTTTATTGGAACATAGCCATGCCCATTCATTTACATATTGTCTGGAAAGCCTAGAATATTTATTCTCTGGCCTCTTACTGAACAAGTTTGCTGACCTCTGGCTTCCAAGGGACCTTAAACTTGATGTGCTCTAGCTCAGCATTCCAAGCACTTGGGTCTTGGCCCAAAGATAGCACCCATCTGTAGGACCAGGTGCAGTGACCAAGAAGATGGATAACAGTGATCTTTTAGTGTACAGAGCATGGTCTAGAAAATAAAAATAAAAACAAAAGTGAAAATGCCATTGTACCAGGTCCTCTCTGGAACATTGTCTCGGTAGAGTCTTAGGTAAGCATGGGACACCTGTCTTACGGAGGAGCAAACAGAAGCTCAGAAAAGCTAAGGGCGAGTCCTAGGCAGTGGCCCAAGCTACTGTTTTGGTGCATGAAGTTCAGAATTGGAAGCCCCTGGAGCAGGGCTGGGCAGAGGAAAGCAGAGTGGGGAGGTGCGAATGGGGGGGAGGCTGGGGGAAGCATCCTGCCAGGTTACAGCCCCAAGAAGGGGGCTAATGGAGCTCCTCGCAGACCCCCAGAAGGATTGCTCTCTGCGGGCACATTTAAAAATAGGAAGGATGAGAGCAGCTGGAGGGCTCCAGTGGTCTAGCACGGCAAGGAGGAGGTGGCTAGGTGCAGACAGCAAGAAGTTGATGAGAAAGAAGTGCTGCTGGACACAGGGTGGGGACAGGGAGGTGACGTGAGTCGAGTGGCCCTAGGGTTGCCATGGCCATTGACCAACTGGGAGGTGACTCAGATGGCAGAATGGCCCAGAAGCAGCAGAGTGGTCACCTTTGCAATGCCGCAGGCACCTTTACCTGCCCTCCCCGTCCCGTCCCCTCTCCCCACCCCCTTCCTCCCAGGGACTGCCTCCACTCAGGGCCATGTGGTCCAGGGCCTGGAGGGGCCCTCCCTCTCGGATGGTTCCCAGCATGGGGCCTGGAGGGTAGGGGCTTAGCACAAGAGCCATGTAAGTGGATCTGTTTGGTAGGCGGACTGGGAGGTGGTGGAATCTCAGAACAGGAAAAGCTTATGGGGCTGGCTGGGGGACAGACAGCGGGCATGCCACCGTGAGCTTCTTCTGTCTTCTGTGGGCGCTCTGTCTGAGGCTGCACGGACCCTGCTGTGGGGAGATTCCCTCCCACATCGTCTTCCTGCGGCACGATTGAGATGCTGTATCTCAACGGAGACGGTGGGCAGGGCCCTTAGTTTGGCTCCAGGGTCGCCAACTGTGGACTGGCCTATTCTTGTAAATAAAGTTTTATTGGAACTCAGCCATGCTTATTTCTTTCTGCACGGTCTGGGGCTGCTTTCACACCACAAGGCTGTGTTGAGTAGCTGCACAGAGACTCTGGCCCACAAAGCCTAAGACATTTACTGTCTAGCCCTTTACAGAAAGAGTTGACTGATCCCTGGTCCAGCTGAAGTAGGAGATGTAGGTGTGTGCAGGCCCAGGTTTACTGGCCTGAGAGCTCCCTGCCTTCCCCCTCCCTCCTCTTCTCCCTCCCTCTGTCCCTTTCTCACCCCCACCCCATTGCCCCTTCCCCCCTCCACCTGTTACTTGTCCCCTCCTCCCCCCACTTCCTCCTTTGAACCTCCCTGAATGGTCCTTCTCCAGTCCCACCCATTTCTCTCCAAGTATTTTAAATTAACGTGTTGGAAGGACTTCTCGCATCACCTTCCTCTCCCACACGTCCCGCCTGCCCCGTCTCCCCTCCGCCAGCCTCCTCCTCACTATCCCCACCTGTTCCCACGGGTGGGGGTGGGGTCTTCTATGCCATGAGATTCTGGGAGACAGGTCCTTCCTGTTGTGACAGAAAGGATGGCTGCTTCTCTCCAGGAAGCAGTAAAATGAACTCTCTTAGGAAGTCAAGTCCCTCCTCGTCCTCCCAGAGAAGCTGACCAGTGTCTCCACAGTGTCCTGCACAGAGAGGTCAATGGGGACCAGCCAGAGGGGGGTGTCCAGACAGAGATGGGTGTGGGTGCTTCTGACTTTGAGAACTGCCTCAGACCAGCCTTCCCGAGCTCAGGAAGATGCTCAGAGGGAGGTTGGAGAGGTGTGGAAGAGGGGGGTCAGGGAAGGCTGCAGCTGAGGGCCAGTCTCTGCAGTTACCAGGACCACCTTTCCACACTAAAACCCAGGCTCTCCCTGCCCCTGCATGGCCTGGCGAGCAGGCCCCAAAACCATGGGGTGCCCCCTTAGCAGGACCAAGGGGAAGTCCTGGAGGTTTCAATGGCTCTCAGGAGTTGATGGGACTGAAAGCTTGAAATTGGGATTGTCCTGGGAGATCCAGGAGGTGAGGACATGATATCCACATAAATTTCCAGAACCAGGGTGTTCCCCGGCTGCAGAGGGACATCCTAGTTCTGTACCAGCTTTGCATACATTTGACACAAGGGGTCCTAGTCTGTCTCTGAAGCAATGGCCATGCCTCAGGGAGTGAAGGAGCCCTCCGTTCCACACCAGAAAGGGGAGGACGAGAAGCGTGACCTGCCCACTGAGATGTGTCCCCACATGGGCATGTTGTGCTGAGAGCCAGCCTCCAGGAGGCCTGGCCGCCTTGAAGACATCATCTCGTGGGGTCTCTTCCCAGCTGAGAGGGAGGCAGCTCCAGGTCAGCTGGAAGGCCTGAGAGGTGTCCGGCCCCACAGCAGATCCCACCCCTCCTCCCGGCCCTGCTGGCCCTGGGTGCCCCACAGGGAGGCCAGTGGGCCCAGGTCCCCAGATTTCCCTGCTGCCATCCCTGCCCTCACTCCCAGCAGGCGCCCTATCCTCCACCACGTTGGAAAAGCAATATGCCAACTGCAGAAGGAGCCCTGCAACCCCCTCTCCACACCGGGCTCCTTTGTATTCTCTTGGTCCCAGGCACCTTAGTGCTCCTTGGGAGAAGTGACCGGGCTGATGCTTTTCCCAGCAGCCTGGCACCAATGGCCTCCACCCAGGCTGCTCTGCATACATTAGCTATGTTTATTTGGCCAGGAGCCTACCCTCTCCCTGTCTGGTTGGTCCTGGGAGCCTGTCCCTCAAACCAGGCCACCAAGAGTCCCTTCCACAGGCCCACGAGGTCTGTGATGGCAGAAGACCCTTTTCTCTTGAGTGAGGCCCAGGAAACCAAAATGGCACGTTACATGCCCTCATCCAAGGTGGGCACCGAGGACAGGAAGGGCATGGGTGGTCAGAGTCCTGACAGTCCCACATTTCAGCCGCCTCCGCCTTGGGTGTAACTCTCCGGGCACTGCTGATGGAGAGGATGGGACGGACACAGTGAGATTTCTCCTCCATCCCCACGGCCCCGCTCTCCCTTAAAGGAGCCGAGGGATGGTGAAGCCAGAACAGGAAAGAGGCGTCTTGGAGTGGGACTTCCTCCCCAGATGGGCTATTGGGACCCAAGGAGCCAAACACTGGCTGCTAGTTGAAGGGTGTGGGTGGGGAACAGTGGTGGTCGTCCAGGTATTGGTCCAGAACTACTTGGGGGTGGTGGGTGAGAGCCTCTGTGCCCACCTGGCTCGGGGCCTGCCCAGGGGCCTTGAGAAGAGTGTCGCTAACGGCCCCAGTCCAGACAGGACTCAGGACCTGCTGGGGAGGTTTCTGCAGCCTCAGGGACCTCGGGCCCAGTGCACATACAGAGCCCTGAGTTGAGCTTTCTGCCTGCCCCGGGTTCCCTTCCCTCACGTGATCCGGTGGTACGGCTTTTGGAGGTGGCTGTGCTGGAAAAAAGAGAGGAGGAGCTGGTAGTTGGCATCTCAAACAGCTTCTGCTGCCTCTCGGGGCTTCACCTGTCCTCTGAGTGGCAGGCAAGTAAGCTTCCCCTTGCTCTAACTGAGGACGATGCCCACTGCGTTGGGGCTCATTTCAGGATCTGTGCCAAACTGGCCTTCTGCCCTGAGAAACTGTGATTAGGGATTTGGTAAGCATTGGCTGTCTGTCTCAGCCCATGCACCAGACACAGTGGGCATACTGCCCAGCCCCCAAGCCCACCTCTCCACGTGACAGCCAGCCAGACGGTCCCTCTCCTTTATGACAACATATTCACGGGGACAGAGCAGGGTTTCCTTCTGTGCCAAGACTCTGGCCTGCCCTGTATCAGGTGTGGTGGGAGCCCAGAAGCCAGGCTGCTGGGATGTGTCTGCGTCGTCAGCCTTGTGCTCCTAGTTAACCTTTTCCCCTCCTTCCCTTACCCCCTGCTCACCCACCTCCTGTTTTACTTTCTATCCATTAGGCGATACTGACCGCTCCAGTGCTTGTAGAGGTCGCCCGGCAGCTGTCCCTCGGAGTTCTGTCTGGGCCGGATTGGAAAACTGGAGACGAGGCTCCGCGATTGATGAGTTTGCCTTGGGAGTCAGCGGCAAAGTGAAACTAACAACGAACATGGGTCAGAAGGTCACCGGAGGGATCAAGACCGTGGACATGAGGGACCCCACGTACCGGCCCTTGAAGCAGGAGCTCCAGGGTCTGGACTATTGCAAGCCCACCCGCCTGGACCTGCTGCTGGACATGCCCCCCGTGTCCTACGACGTCCAGCTGCTCCACTCCTGGAACAACAACGACCGCTCGCTCAACGTCTTCGTGAAAGAGGACGACAAGCTGATCTTTCACCGGCATCCGGTGGCCCAGAGCACAGACGCCATCAGGGGCAAGGTCGGGTACACGCGTGGGCTGCACGTGTGGCAGATCACGTGGGCCATGAGACAGCGGGGCACGCATGCTGTGGTGGGGGTGGCGACGGCAGACGCCCCCCTGCACTCCGTCGGGTACACGACCCTCGTGGGAAATAACCACGAGTCCTGGGGCTGGGACTTGGGGCGCAACCGGCTCTACCATGATGGCAAAAATCAGCCGAGCAAAACGTACCCAGCCTTCCTGGAGCCAGACGAGACGTTCATTGTCCCTGACTCCTTCCTGGTGGCCCTAGACATGGACGACGGGACGCTGAGCTTCATTGTGGATGGACAGTACATGGGAGTGGCTTTTCGGGGACTCAAGGGCAAAAAACTGTATCCTGTAGTGAGTGCCGTCTGGGGCCACTGTGAGATCCGCATGCGGTACTTGAATGGACTAGACCGTAAGTGTCCTCTGTGCGCCGAAGTGGCAGTGTCCCTAGACTCCATATATCCCTGTGGTCGTGGCCAGGCCTAGTCAAACGTTTACACAGTCATTGGATTAAAATATCTTTGAATAGACAGCCCAGCATATTCAGATCCGCAGAGGTGACTCTTGCCTGCCTCTGATTAAATAAGGAAGTCTAGCCAGAGTCTGCCAGATTACCTGGCAGCATCATGGATGAATGGATGGATGGATGGGTGGATGGGTGGATGAGTGGATAGGTGGATGGATGGATGGATGGATGGGTAGATGAGTGGATGGGTGAATAGATGGATGTGTGGATAGATGAAGGAATAAATGAATGAACGAATGGATAGATGGATGGATGGATAGATGGGTAGATGGATGGATGAGTAGATGGATAGATGAGTGGATGGGTGGGTGGGTGGATGGGAGGATGGATGGATGGATGGATGAAGGAATAAATAAATGAATGGATAGATGGATAGATGAGTGGATAGGTGGGTAGGTGGGTGGATGGATGGATGGATGAGTGGATGGGTTAGTGGTTGGGTGGATGGATGGATGGATGGATGAGTGCGTGGATGGATGAATAAATCAATGAATGGATGGGGGTCTTTGATAGATGTGGTTTTGTTTCTGGTTGACCTGCTTCCAGGTTTGATCTGCAGCTAATCAAATTCTAGCACAGTAGCCAGCGTGTTATTGAGCTGGGGTTTGCAGCCTTGAGGGTACTAGGGCCTCTCACATAAATGAAAGCCAATGGCCTCTCTCACTCATTAGACAGGTTTAGGGTCTTTCTTTCTTGGTGCTGGAGGATTGTGAGTGGGCTCCTTTGAGACACAGTTGCCTGAGAGGGGCTTGTTCAGTCGTGATGTCAGGAGGCCTTTGGAGAGGAGAATGTGGATTAGAAACAGGCTGAGTCAGCAGCAATTTCTGCCTGTACCTTTGGAAAAGGGAGTGTCCTTTCTCAGACCATGTGTGAAAATAGCCCGCGTGTGGTGGCACTCTCCTGGTTTGGGAGGTGGAGGGCTCTGTGGCTTCACCGCTGGGAGCCCACAGTGGCAGGAGGTCCTAGGGTTCCAGAACTATCCATCTCTGTGTTAGACCCTCACTCCTTCATGGATTCCTTCTACCATCTGCAGATCCTACCCTGGAAAGGGAGTGGGCCAGAAAGCTTCGTCCACCTAAGCACCCGCTGTCTTTAAGGGGTAGGTCTGGCCTGGCGCCCCAAGATCTAACCCCACCCTGCAGGCCGGGGGTCAGGAGCACAGATGCTTACTCTGGTCTCGCAGCCTCCAAACCTTCAGTTGTCCCTTTCCTCCTCTTCTCTTCGTCAGTCTTTGGAAGGTACCAGAGAAAACATCCAGGCCGTCAGGCAGGGCAAACTCAGGCATTCCTCTTTGGAAGCCTCCACCCCCCTTTCCTCGCTCCCCTTCTCTGGCTTTGGCTGAGTGAGGACAGTGAGCCCACAGCCAGACGGGGCGTCTGCCTCACCTGTGCAGCCCGCACCCCTAGGTCATGGGACTCCTGGCAGGGGTGGCCAAGTGTGCATCCAGCAGGTAAACTCCCTGAGGCAGTAAGCTCAGACCTGGTCTAGGGAACCAGCAGGGCGAGTTCTGTGAGTCTGTCTCCCCAGGTGACAGTGGTAGAAAATCCACAGGCAAATCTGCCCTGCGCAGGGGTGGGCAGGGATTGGGAGCCTCGGGACCTAGGATCTCAGGGGACCCTGGCCTGCGGGCCTGCCTCCCTCCTCCTAGCAGAGGGTTGACCATGGCCCCAGGGAGTTTCATGTGTGTGCTGTGCAGGCAGATGAGCGAATTGCTGGGCCTGCTGTGTTGTGGCCAGGCTACTGCGACTGGCGGTCTCCACAAGAGCGGGCAGCCCGTCTCCAGGAACAGGTCCATCAGTGATGTGAGTTTGCATGGCTTCACTGTTCACATCACCAGCTCCAATACAGAACACAGACCCCGGGGTGGCCCGGAGGGGCAGGGGCCTCTCACTCGTGGCAAGTCAGGGCACACTCGAACAGAACTTGCAGAGTCAGGGCAAGGCTCGGCAGAGGTTCTCCCGAAATAGTCCCTGAGGCCCAGGCAGGCGTCTTGTAAGTAGATCGATGCCAGGTCAGCTCTGTATCAGACAGGAGGCTGGATGCTTTAGTAATTTTTCTCGTTTGGGAAATTGAAAAGGGATTGAGGGGAAGAGAAGTAGCGTAGGAGTGAGTTATGAGAACTGCACCTGCGAGCTGGACCCTAGAGTGCCTGGTGACTTGAGCCCACTCAACACTCCAGGTAAATGATGAGGACCCCCCTCCCCACCAGAATCGTAATGCCAGGCAGTTCCAGGGCCCCCTTGGCTTCCTGCCTTCCCCAGTTCCAGTCAGACATGAATGGGCCCCACTCTGCCAGCCTGTTGACTTTGGAGGATCCAGATGGGAAAACCCGTGAGGGTGGTGCAGCGTCCCCAACCCGCTGCACGTGTCGGGAGTAGGATAAGGTGTTAGAACTGCCAGCCTCCACCTGCTTACTGACACCTCGGTTCTGTGTTGAGACAGCATCTCATGTCCTAGAAGGATCACTCTGGCTGCTGTGTAGAAATGGATGGTGGGGGCAAGAGTGGCTGCTGGGAGGCCAGGGAGGAGCCACAACAGTTGTCCAGGGGAGAGGTAATGGGGGGTTAGAGCCAGAATGGGTGCCATGGAGGTGGGGATGTTAAATTCGAGATGCTCACACAACGAGTCCAGGTGGCTCTGCAAGTCTGGAGACAGGACAGAGTTGGGGACAGTGGTCAATGGGAGAGTCACCCACGGCTGGATGGTGTTTAGAGCCTTGACCCCTGGATGAGATCACCTAAGGGAATGACGGGGAGAGGGTGAGGCCAAGCCCTGGGACACGTCCATGTTTGGGAGGCCAGGTGGAGGAGGGGGAGGGAAGAGCGGTGTCCTGGACACCAAGTGAAGAAAGGACTTCCAGAAGGATAAAGTGATGCCAGGTCAAATTGTTAATGGCTAAGAATTGTCCGTCAGCTTCGGCAACAAGACGATCACAGGTGACCTTGACGAGAGTCAGTCCTCTGGGTAGGGTGGGGTCAAAAGCCTGAGGGAGTGGTGGGGTTAGAGAGGAGGGGAAGGGTGGTACATTGTTTCTTGGGCCTGCCGGAACAAATGGCCACCAACTGGATGGCTTAAAACCACAGGAATATATTCTCTCACAGTTCAGGAGGCCGGATGTCCAAGATCAAGGTGTGGGCAGGCTCTGTTCCTTTCTGAGGGCTCTGAGGAGAAGCCGTCCCATGCCTCCTCCTGGCCTCTGCTTGTTGCCTGCCATCCTTGGCTTATAGACGCCTCTCTCAGTCTCTGCCTCCATCGTCACACGGCCTTCTCCTTGTGTCTCTTCTCTTGTAAGGACACCAGCCATTGGATTCAGGGCCCACCCTACTCTAGTATGACCTCATCTTAACTAATCACATCTGCAAAGACCCTACTTCCGATAGGGTCACATTCTGAGGTTCCAGATGGTCCTGAATTTGAGGACACTATTCAACCCATTACAGTTGTGGAGACAGCAAACATAGACCCTTCCCACAAGACCTTCCCCCCCCCATGCTGCCACCTGGGTGGGGGTAGACGAGACAGTGACAGGTGAAGCCCAGCACTCAGATCAGGTGAGGTCAAAGGGCACCCAAGTCCTCTGTCCGGAAGGGTTTGCTTTCCCTTCCAAGGCAGCCGAGGAAGGAAGAAAGTCAGGGTGGGACCGGGTCCGTGGTCTAACCAGGGAGCAGGCTGTGATAGGCGGAAGCTCTGGCCAGGTCTGGCTAGTTACGTCTTCTTGGTGTAGGCCTGGCCTGGCCTTTGTTCTCGAAGTCTTCGAGGTGGTTCTGATCCATTACTGCTCCCTGGGATGTCTGGGAAGTTGTCTGCGCCCTTCTTCCTCACCCCACCCAACCCGGCCGCCAGCTCCTGACCTCAGCAGGGAGCAGCTGTTTGCAGAGCTGGTCAGCCAAAGCAGCGTGTGCACCCTCCCTGGGCGTTTGTTCTCCCAGCCCTTCCCCTGCAGCCAGGCGGACCCTCCCCAGCAGAGTCCCTCCCCCTTTGCTGGGGCTGTGGGCCGAGCTGGCTGGAGCCAGAGCAAAGGTGGCGAGTTATCAGTGTGTCCCTGTGTGACCTCCCCCACCATCCAGCCAGCGATGACCACTGGCCACTTGTTCCAACTCCTCCTTGGGGCTTGAGACCTCTGGGGCTGAGGCTGCAACCAGAGGGGCAGCTGTGTCACCTCGCTGTTTCCTGGGGCGAAGGGGTGGAGATGGTCAGTGTCGTGGGAAGACAGGGCCCAGCTGGGCCCCCAGGCCTGCCCACCGCCCTCTGGAGAGGCAGAAGGGAAAGGCCTATTTGCCTGCAGCAGACTGGCTGTCACCCAAGGGAGAGTCCCTGACCCATGAGTCCCCGCCCCCCACTGCTTTTAACAGCGTCCCCAACTAAGGAAGCATTTTCCCTGCGGTTCAGCCTTGTCAGATTCTCCCTTTTCCGGCTCCCAGATAAGTTCGGTGTGGTTTGTCTTGATTGCAGGTTCAGGGAGGCTCCAGGAGCCTTTCGACCTGGTGACATCCTCCTGGTATCCTCCCAGGGCACCTCTCCTGATGGTTATTCCAGCTGGGCTCCAGGGAAGCTCCTCGTCTGGGAGACTGATCACCCCGCCCTGCAGGGTCTTCCGTCTGGGGGAGAGAGACCATGTTGGGGGAAGGGGTTGTTCTAAACCCCCTGCCCCCGAAAGGCTAGTCGTATGAGGACAGCAGGCTCTCAGAGTTGGGGGCAAGGGTGCTGGCGTTACCCGGCCGGGTGTTAGGCGTCCCTCCCCAGTTGGGAAGGACAGGGGATTGGTGCTCTCTTTTGCTTCTTTTTTCTAAGAACTGCTTAATGTAAAGGGAAAATGCACACATATCCTGGGATGGCCATTCTCCACTCACGACTTTCTAGAATCCATTTCCTGGAGCAGCCTGCAGTGAAAAGGCTCTAGGGAGTGCCCCTGATTCAGCGATGTTCCCATCCTTCGAACATCGCTGAATCAGGGGCACTTCCTGACCTGAGACGTTCATCCTTGACCTCACAGACCCCAAGTCATTCCTTTAGCCCATGAACTAGACACAGCACAGGCTCTGGAGGCTTGAGTTGCGTGCAATCTCTCAGAGAACCGGAGAGAGCCAGGGTTGGGGTGCTGGGGCCGCACATGTTCAGAGAGGCCACCAGGTAACCATTTCTCCTAGAAATGTGGAAGTTGGCCATGGACTCGTCCAGTTCCTCAACCTTCTGTTCCCATAAATAGCGCCTGATTCACTTCCTGATTTCCATGCTGGCGTCTCAGCGCCGCCCCCTCTCATTCATGTAAACTATGCAAATGAGCGAGCGCCTCAGCTTCCTGGCTGTGGGCATAGTCGCCCTGGCGCCTCAGCCTGACAGGAGTCATCGCATAAACTCCGCCTTCTCTGGGAGCTTCTTCAGTGGAATCTCAGTGGGCGCCCGCTTTGTGGATAGAGCTGGATACAGAGCCTGCAGCCCCCAGTCAAAAGTATTGAGGTGGGGGGAGGCCTTCTTGGGTCCTATTAGCCACCATCCGAAATCAGTGGGACAGACGTTTTCCATGGCGCAGTGCCCATGTCTGGTTCTGTGTCCGGTGCATTCTTGATCTCTGACCAGCCTTTGAAAAGCAATCAGACCGTAGCCCTGTGCATCGTCATTTTGCCTCCTACAAGATGGGCGGGGGGATGACCTGTTTGTGAACTTGAGGCCCCCAAGAATAGACCCATCCATGGATGCCTGGGTGACTGGTCGTATTTTCAGCTCATAACACATCACTGCAGCCGTCAGCTGCCACTTCTGTAACCCGTCCTGGAAGATCTGGCGTGTACGCAGGACATGTCCCGTCTGGTTTCACGACCCCTGCACAACTAAGTTATTCAGTGTGGTCCAAAGGTGGTCAGGCAGAGGAAGCTGCCCACATAACAGCTTTTAGCGGGATGGAAGGCGGTAGCTGTAGGTCTTCGTCCCTCTGGGTAAATAAACTGCAAAGGGCTACTGGGAGCTTCCTCTTCATGTTGGCATAGAAAGAGCCAGACTCTAGAATTTGGTGGACCTGGGTGTATGTCCAAGTTCTAGCCAATCCTTGGCTCTTAGACCTCGGACCCCAACTCTCACCTCCCCAAGCCTGTTGCCCCATCTGTAGTTTGGGGGCCACCGTCCCTGCCAGGCACATGATAGGCGCTCCACAAGCCATAGCTGTCACTGTTGCTGTGATGTTAATTTCGGGTGTGATGTCACCAGAAATAGGGGAGCTGGAGCTGGGGGCTGGTGCAGGCCTCTGCTGTTTAGAAATACTGTTTTTTCGTGAGGATATTCGTGAGTTGACCTGAAATCCATGAAGCCAAGAGGGCATGATGGGAACTCCCTCTCTGCCCTCGCTCCACAGCCCAGCGGGTCTCTAGGGCCACATTCAGTGGCTCTTGATGTTTTCTCAAGTGACTTCAGCCACCAGGGGAAGACCCTCCACCTCCCAGTGGGCCACATCCTTGAGGGGGAAGGGGCTGGCCCGATGCGGGACAGAGGAAAAAGAGCTCCTGAGTGAGAGAGGAAGCACCACTGAATTCCCCCACTCGATCCTGCGGAAGGGCCTCAATAGCTTGTCCAGGCCAAGAGCGGCGGTGAGGCAGTTCTGGCCTTCACGATCTCAGCTGCTTGGGACTTTGGGGAGCATCTGGTCTGGATTCCTCATCTTACAGATGGGGAAACTGAGGCCCAGGCAGAAGGAGTGAGCTGCTTGAGGTCAGGCTGCTGTGCAGGGTGGAAGTGAGGAGCCAGATGTGAGGCTGCTGGGGCAGGATGCTGTACGTAGGATGAGGGAGACCCAAGGCACTGTGAGCAGGCAGGTGGGAGAACCCAGCCCCACTCCCCAGGAGTCTGTGGACTCCTTGACCCAAAAGGGTGAAAGGTCGTTTAGTTCATCCTTTTGCCTCCAGGCAGAGATCCCGTTAATCATCCCACGCTGTCCAGGAAAGGCCCCATTTCAAAGCTTTCCATGAAAAACGTTTACCATCCCACGCTGTCCAGGAAAGGCCCCATTTCAAAGCTTTCCATGAAAAACGTTTACCATTTCAGTTCCTCCTGTTGTCTAGCTGGGGCTGTAACTGCCCAGGGGAGACAAAGAGTAGTTGTTTCTTTTTTTAAAGCCTGGAATTTAGTAAATGCATTTTCAAGCCTAAGATTTATTCTTTTTTTTAATGACAGCTTTGTTGAGATATAATTCACATGCCGTACAATTCGCTCATTTAAAGTGTGCCGCTCCGTGGCCTCTAGTATATTCACAGATGTGCACCCGTCTCTACAGTTGCTTTTAGCACACTTCCATCACCCCAAAAGACGCCTGTACTCCTTAGCAGTCACTCCTCATTTCCCCCGACGCCCCCAGCTGTAAGATTTGGGCTTCAGTAATTGAGTTTCTAATGTTGTTTTTAATATTCTGAGACACACTGGTGAATATTAAAGAACTTTAATCCACTTTTTATTGGGGGAATGGGATCTCAAGGGAAATGCCGAGTTTTCCTAAGCTTTTTGGTTTGATCTTTATTTTGCTCACACAGGAGTCTCAACATTAAAGGGCAGCATGGATGAAGGCACAGATCCGTTCATTTCAGCTCTTTCTGTCTCCAGAACACTGCAGGGTGGCCCCGAGCAGCCCCAGATGTGCTCGCCTGTGCCTGGTTTCAGGGAAGAGAGCAAGGAGGGGTCATCTCCGGGGAGGCAGTGTGAGCAGGGCCCCTACGCCACTGGCAGCCTCCCGGGCCTCAGAGGGAATAACTTTCGGACTCCTTCTGGAACTGGGAGTTAATCTGAGATGTGGGCTGGCCAGAGCCTCCCTTGTAGGAAGACAGGGCCCTGCCCTCCAGGGACACAAGGACAGAGGTGCCCTTGCAGGCTGCAGGCTGCAGCTAGAGTCCATCTCAGATCCAGTTGCCTGAGGCAGCTCTGCCTGAGCCCCAGCCCCGGCTCCCCCGGCTGTGAGGGTCCCCTGGCATGATCCTGAGGGTCCCAGTTGCTGCGGCTGGGCTGGCATGTCCAGTTTCCCTCTGCCTGGGCCCTCGGCTTCACTCTGTCAGGTAGAAAGAAGTGCAGGGACCTGGGGTTTCTGTAGACACTACACCTTCAGGCTGTAGGGTGGGCTGGGCCTGAGAAGGCCCCTCTGCTCTGCCTCCTATAACGTGTACCTGTAGGTGGCATTCCTTACATCTTAATTGGCAGCGTGATGTGGTGGGTAATACCGTGGATGCTGAGCACAGATGGCCTGGATTTGGATCCCAGCCTGTAAACCTGGCTCATTAGGTCCCCTCTGCGCCTCAGTGCCCTTGGCTGTAAGACGGAGACGACAACAGTACCCACGAGCAGTTGGGTTAACACAAAATGATTCCCTTCCTAAAAACCTGCGTGGGGTCTGGTGCTGGGGGTGGGCTGGCTCCGTGTGCTCCGATGGACACACATTGAAGGCTGCGGCTTGTCCCAGGGGTAAGAGCAGGGATGGCCTGGGTTCGAATCCTAGCTCCATCTCCTACCAGCAGTGTGACCCTAAGCAACTTATTTGGACTGTCTGTCCCTCAGTTTCCTCGTCTGTAAAATGGGGATGGTGATAATGCTGTCTGCCTGTGATGATCAAATCATTCGCAATAAACCATCGTGAGGATTCAATGAGTTAGTGCTTGCAGAGGGCTTGCAAAGGTGCCTGGCCCAGGGTGGGTTCTCTGTGTTAGCTATTAATAATTAATTTAAAATGTAAATTTACTTAATTATTAATTGTCTGTGTGGTAAAACTAATATTAATGATACTCTTGCTATTGTTGTAGTGTTCATTCTAGAACCATCCAGAGCTGTGCTAACCTGATGTTCTCTTCTCTCTCCTCCGTTTCCCTAGCCGAGCCGCTGCCGCTCATGGATCTCTGCCGCCGCTCGGTGCGCCTGGCCCTGGGGAAGGAGCGTCTGGGCGAGATCCACGCACTGCCACTGCCCGCCTCCCTCAAGGCCTACCTCCTCTACCAGTGACCCTCACCACAGGATCACCAGCACGACAGCCACCTGGTGCCAGCTCACCGAGCCGCCACCACCACGCCCTGCGCCTTGGATGGGCGTCCGCGGCCGTGGGAGGAAGTCCCCGCTCTTCCTCTGCATCCTCCATGCTGCCCCTGCTGGACACGAACAGCTCTCGACACAGGCTCCTCTGTTCCTCTTCCCGACATTGGTGGAAGTCCCCTGCGTGCCGAATCACAGCCCCTCCTTGGAAAAAGACCCATGGAACAAACTCCCAGGAAGCCCTACACTGAGCTGCCAGAGCTCTCGGGGTGGCATGGGGTGCTCCTCCACACACCGGGTCCCAAGGGGACGGGGCCAGCACCGAGAGCAGACCCCGGAGGTGCTAAGAGGTGCTTAGAAGAGTGCTGGGGCCCAGGCCAGCGGGGCGTGCTCTGGCAGACGAAGCTCAGGACGTCAGAGACTCAGCTGGACACCGAGGCAGAAACCAAAATTGGACCTTCCACAGGCACATGAGCACCCGGCGTCAGTACCGGCTGTCGGTGCCCCCGTCCCCTGTATTTATTCTTTTAACAATAACAAAAGCCATTTATTTATTCCATTTAGAAAGGAAACCTTGTTTCGGTCACCTCTCTCTGTTGCTTTTCTTCCACCTGCCCCTCCCCGGGATGTGTGTGCCTCACCTGTCCTTTTTGCTGGCCAGGTCTGTGGTGTGGCCCCACGTGGCACAGGGTGTCTTTGTTTGGGTCCCTTGACCTACAGTTTCCAGGGGGCTCTGCTCTGAGTTCCCGAGCAGGCCCCTCAGGGAGCAGTCGCCTCACGTGCAATATGAAAGTCTTGGGGGACCCATCTGCACGGTCTGTGGCAGCTCCCCGTGTCTCTCCAGGCAGCCACTCACACCTGGGCTCATACATCTTTGCACGTGGTCTTATTTCTTTAGCCTTCTATGGGTTTTTGGTGTGGGTTTGCTTTTGCTTTCCTAGCTGAGGTTTTCCACGTGCATCCTCAGAAGCTCTGGCTTCCCAGAGGACCACTCGAACCAAGAGGGAGGATGAGTGGGTCTCCTTCCCCTGAGAAGCCAGGGTCAGGGCGGGGTGGGGGAGACCAGGGCAGAGTGGAGCCTCACAGAAGCCAGTGCAGGTCTCTGCTGAGTGCCCCTGTCTGGGCTCTGGGCCAACGTGGAGCAGCCCCCAGTTCATCACAACACCCCAGAGCCAGAGGGACAGGGTGGGGCGGGACGGGGCAGCCAGCAGGAGAGGGACACCCTCTCCCTCCCACAACTCCCCCACGTAGCAGACCCCAGCACCCTGCCACCGCACTCGCCATTTCCTTTGTCTTGAAGTCAGCTCTCCTAGAATCTAACTTCTGTTCATTTCTGTACAGGTACAATAGATGACTTTATTTGTTTAAAATGTTTAATATATATACATATATATTTGTCCGTAAGAATTATGTTTTGAACAGCTGCTGTAGGGTACCTTGTCAAAAAAAAAAAGTCTTCCAGTGGAGTATATTTTTTAAACACAAAATTGGTGCCAAGACTGGGTGAGGAACATAAATTACCCCCTCATTATTTGGAGGTTCTTTTTCAGGGGGGAACCTTACCTGTAAGATTTGTAAAGATTTCCCTTGCTCCTGCATCAGGGTGGGTCATGTTCTGATGAATGTTGCACACCAGTCTCCCTCACACAGATCCCAGCCTGACCGCCTTGAGCCAGCCATCTCCCACGGACGCTGGATGAATCGCCCGGCTCTCTGTCATCTCTCTGCACCTCCCACCCTCCAGCTCCCCAAACCTCGACCCCACCCTTCTTTCAGCCCAGAGCCCTGTGGCCTGTACAGTTTTGAAACTCCCATTCTATTTTATGATGGTTGATAATAGTAACCTAATAAAGGAAAGTTTATTAAAATACAAAGCCACTTTTGGGACCCTTTTTGTGCCGCGGGGGAAAGGAAAGATGCATGGCTGACTCCTCCTGGGTCCAGACAGCTCGCTGCCCACAGTTTTCAACAGATAATGAGGTGAGCCCCTTGGCAGAGGGTGGGATGCCAGCCGGAGCCCCAGGAAGGAGGAGAATCCTGGAGGGGTGATCCTAGAACATCCCCATCCTTTTCGGGCGCTCGTGAGCCTGCAGCCCAGGCTAAGGGACTTGCTGACCTGATAGAAAAAATTCTGCACATTTGTGAGAGCCACTGGCTCGTCCGTGTATGTTAAAGCTTGAGCTGACAGTGGGCTTTTAGGAGCAGGGTGTGGAGCCGTGTGGGCGTCCTCGGAGTCCAGGCTGTGGGTACTCTGCGGAAGGAGCTGGTCCCTCCTTCGTCTTTGTGTCCGCCCCAGTGCCAAGTGCAGAGATGCTGCTGAGGCTTAGGCTGAGAGAAGCCGTTCTACCAGCTGCTCTGGGCAGAGTCCCCCACCCCACACCCCAGCAGAGAAGGCAGGAAATTCTGGCTTATTTGGAGGATTGGTGAGTGATAAAGTGAAGAGTCAAGAAATGTACTAGATATGATCACATGTCGTGACTAGTTTCCAAAGAATTGGCAAGAATGCATTCCATTCCCTGTGGGCATGTCAGAATCTGGTAGTGCTGGGAACAGTGCCCTGGTCTGAGGGCCCAAGACCCCTGGGACCAAGTCCCATGTCCATTTATCTGAAAGGCTCCTGGCCAGCCTTCCTCAGACTGTGTGAACAAGCCTCACCAGGGGAGTGTTTGTGAACATGCACATTTCGGGCCTGCCTGGGATAGACTGAATCAACATTTCTGGGGCCAGGCCCAGGAATCTGCAGTTTTCTGGAACTCACCAAGAGCCCTTGCCTAAGAGAGTTTGGAGACCACTGTCTGCAACTGTGTCAGCTCTTTCTCTTGAAAAGTTGCTGGGTAAAGGGAAATTTCTTTCACGGTGTTAGTGAGTTGGCTCAGCGACGAGCACATGTCCTACTGAGTCAGACCTGGGTTCAAATATTGGCTCTGACCCTCACTAGCTGAGCCTCTGCAAAATGGCAGTCATCATAGTGCCCATCTCGGAGGAAGGTAGCCAGAGTGAAATGAGGCTTTAGAACAGGGCCCGGCATATTAACAAGCATGCAAACAAGTGCTTTAATAGTTCATGCACTTCTGTTCTGGAAAATAGCAGTTCCTGGATTGGAATTGGTCTCTGAGAATGGACCAAACATTCCTAAACCGACTTCCTGATAAATATTCTTTCTTCCTGGGTAACGTCTCCAAAGATCAAGGTGGGTATTGGTAAGAGGGACCCCTAGCTGCCTTCCCCAGACACTGCTGGAGGAAAGGGGTGGGCTGGAATTATTTTTAGGTTGGAGTTCACGTCTGGGTTGCAGTTGGAACTCCCGCTTGCTTAGAAGGAGGTGGCAGGGGGAGGAGTGGGGTCAGGCGGGGAGGGGAGTGGTGGAAAGCACAGAGAAAATAAGGGCCTTTGTGCTGCTGGGAGACTTCTGGGGGAGCAGGGTTCCGTGTTGAAGGGAGCGGTCTTAATAAAACTAGCTTGCAGACTGGCCCATGTGGTTGTAATTAATCCCCTGCCTTTGAGCAGGTAGCAGGCTCTCGGTTTGGCCATAGATGGGAAGAGCCCTCCCTCCTCCACCCCCCACCCCCCCAGCCCCGGTCCATCTCCTGCACACTCCTGCACACGGCTTCCCTCCCGCCCTTCCTCCAGCTCCTCCTCGGCGAGATGAGGAATGTGGACCGTACTGAACCATAAAGTATGCCGGGGGAGCTGGGGAGGGGGCCGAAGACAGAGCAATTAGTTCATGCTCCAGTCCAGACACCCAAACATGGTTGGAGTCCAGCTGCAAGGAATATTTGAAATAAATGAGCTGCCCGGGGCCAGGAGTTTGCTGTGTTTTCTGTACGGGGCCATGGCAACCAGGGAGGAAACCATGAGCTGGGATTGGGCTCTAGAATCAACAAATGATGTCCTGGCCCAGCAAGCCCAGAGGAAGCAGCTCATGGCTCTCGGAGGGCTTCTCGGGGCTCAGCTGCTGGCGGGCAGGACTGCCTGACCGTCCTCCCGGTGTGCTCGGCGAAGTCCTGTCCCAGCTTTGGACCTCTGTGTCCTCCGAGGGGCTCTCACTTTTTTTACTTTTCTTTTTTTTAAAGGTAAGAGAGAGCTAACACTTCTCTTGAACCATTTTTCTTAGGCCGAGAACAGCTGCTGCTGCCACGGCCGGTCTGATAATGATTTTCCTGGGCAGAGGGAATGTTCCCGGTGGAAAAGCCAGGCTGAGGGCAGCTGGCTAGACGGAAGGTGGCGCTGACCTTGCCCTGGGTCTGTCTTCCCACCCGGCCCAGCTGCAGCCTCTTCTGGGTTCACTTTGTAGGCAGAAAAGGCAAAGGCCTCATTTATTCCTTCCCTGCCTCTTCTGAGGGTGGACCTTACAGCCGGACGCCCCTAAAAATGTGTCTTCTAGAAGCACATGAGTGACAGGACCTAGTTTGGGGGCCTTAACTTGAAGTTCACAAGTACCTCCTGCATTTGAAGCACCAGGGCACGTTGGGGGAAAAGCAAAAACCCAGAAACTTGGATGCAGTGGCTAGGGCCTGGGAACCTGCATCTTGAAACACTCATAGCTGATTCTGATACATTGCCCTGGGGGGCCCTGGAGCCCAGAATTATATGCAGAGTTGTACCCACGCAGACCCCCCTGCCGTTCCCCCTTTCTTTCAGAGGCCTGCAGGGGGCTTGAAGACCACTGGTGTGGAAGATTCCATGGGAATCACCTCTTCCCGCTCTGTGTTTCAGAGCATGTCCAAAAGCCCCGGAGATCTGGGCCTGCAGCGCCGGCCTCTCGCCCCAGCGTGGAAGGGCTTATCTTAGAGGGGCAAACAAGGTGGATCCAAGAAGAAAGACCGGAGCAGAGGTGGAGAAACCTCAGCCTTGGGCTCTTCCCCTGAGCCTCAGTTTCTTCAAGGAAATTAGTCCCTGGAAAGCTGAACCAGGGGCCGAGAGAGGCCACGCAGGTTCGGAGCCGCTGCCCAGGTGCCGTCCAGCAGGGCCGTCCGCTCAGGAGCTGCTAGCGGCTCTTTCCCACGACCTCAGCACCCACCCCAGACCCCGTCTCTCCCAGGTCATGTCTCCCCTGTCTCTTCACCGCGTACTCCTCTCCCACCTGCACCCCTAGGCCCCACTTTTTGAAAGATTTTTTAACCAAAACCCATTTGTGAAGCCCCTTCCCAGGGACTTCGGTTAAGCCAAGCCGCCATCGGGGCTGCTTGCTTGACTGCAGGTAGAATGCTCTTCAGCCAAAAAGCAAAGAACTTCGCCTTCCAGCTGGTGTGTTGGGGCTGCGTGACTGGGGAGAGGGGCCTGGGCTCTGGAGCC